AATATTCACAAAACAAAAGCTTAGTTCGAATATTAGTATGCTTAGTAGTGTTGTCACAAAAAAAATAAAAATAACAAAATGATTTGATAACTTATCTTTGTTGGGTTTTATAAAGTCGACATTCTTTGAGCATTTCAGTGAGAACATCTTTTTTAAAATATCCAATAACAAAACAATATTGTTATTTTGTATTATTTTTCTAGTGTTGCCCTTTGACAATTTTGACTTATGCCTGTCAAAATTATCAAACATTTGCTGTAATTTTTGGTGTTTTTAGAACTCTTTATTTCATTATTTTTTATTCAGAGAAGATAACCACATATTTGTTTTTAATTGAAAATATTTTTTTAACGAAAGTAATTATCAGTTAAAACTCGACACAAACAACACCATCCCAATTCACTTAAACGTTAATTGTTGTGCTTTTAGGTCAACAATGCTGTGTATATGTTGCGAAGTTTCGAGTTATGGTCAAATCAAATAACGGGATCGGGTTTTTTGGAAAAAGATGGCTAATATTCCGATATTTTCCCGAATTTGTACGAAAATAATTGAACGGGATTGGTATTTTTTTCAAAATAAAGTCGGTACTTTCGATTTTTTGTTTTTTGTTTTTTTAGGAAAAAACAAAAATAAAAAACGGGACTTTAGGAAGTTCTAAAAATATGACAGTACCAACTTTTGAAAAACAGTTTATATTAATAATACACAATAATAAACAATTTAATCCACAATAATATGTTTATGTGTTATTAAATTAAACAATAAATGTTTCAATGTAAATATTGTTATTCCAAAAGTAATAGATACTAAAAAGATCATTTTCGAATCATTTTATAATATTATATTTTTCTTTTTATATAAATTATCGGTGTATTCGTTATAATAATTAATTAATTGAATAAATAAAAATTATTAATTATATTTTAATCATTATTGAAATTATTGTTGAAACGTTACTTATAATTAACATCGCATTTATGTACATCAATTTACTAATTATTGATGTAAATTAATCTATGTATCTACATTATATTTTTTTAATATACTGGAGACACAAATCATTGTGCATCATGTTAAATATTTAAAATAAGTTGTTTTAAAAATTATTATTTTTAAACAAAATGTAAAATTACAAACAAAAACAAATGCTAAACATAGTTATTAAACAATGGTTAAAATCAAACATTTATTGACAATAACATCTATTTTATTAATAATATTTTAAAAATCAAGTATCAATACAAATATTTGAGTTGATAAAGTGTTTAATATTACATTCATTTTTGAAATTGATTTTAAATATACTGTTGATTATTCACACATTGAAATTATTTTGTTTTAATATCTTTCTAAAATTTTGCAATTACATCGGTTATGATTTCATTTTTTGACTATAGTCAGTATAAAACGTTATGTGTTCAGAAAAATTATCTTATTTTAATTAAATAGTCGTATTTATGTTTAAAATAATGAAAATTGGGTAAAAACTCAAAAATGTGAAAAACTAAAAGAATTCAATGGGTTTTTAAAATAATTTGCAGAAATTATCCACTCGGTTTAGTCCAAAAGATACTGGCCAAATTTGAAGCAAATAACTTTGTTAGAGTGACTATAGTATCAAAGTTCATGAACATATTTATTTGTATTTTGTGTTTTCAAAGTGTAAATTCAAACAAAATGTTTACTCTTAAACTGACTATTGTTTAGTCATATTTGATGTAATTGATTTTTGATACAACAAAAAATATTCTATTGTTCAAAACTGTTTTGGTGCCTAGTGGTGATGGTATAACATAAATATAACTTATGTTATTTATAAAATTATTGTTGTTGTAAATGAAAAGACAAAATTGATAAACATAATATCAATATTTATACACCGTTTTAAATTAAAAACAACTGAAAGCAATAATTAACACCAAATTGATTAACATCATTTAAATGAATTTAAAAACAATTATATTTTAATTATTGTTAAATGTAATAAGTTAAAATATCATTATTATTTGAGGTTTGATAAATAATCAAATTGGAAAATAAATATTATTTGTAAATGTCACATTTTTCATTGTATTATTTAAAAATAATATACCGATTAGTACATTAAACATATTAACATAATGTAACTTATCATGTGCAAATATCTCAAAAAATATTTGTTACACAAATTGTAATTAATTGAGAAAATTTTAATCTATATTCCAAAGACAAAACAAAAAAGTTTCAAACATTTAATAATGACACTTACTATTACAAGTCACACCCAATTAATATGATGATAAATAATTGTCTTTACATATCATAAACCAAAATTTGTGATTACTTCGAAGTTAACTTTTTAATTTATTTCCTGTTGTTCACTATGTGATTTCAAACTTTATATGTTGTATACTTATCAATTTATTACATACAAGTTACAAAATCAAAAAACGCACATTTTTTATGTATTTTGATACTGTCTTTTTTGTTCATACATTTTAATTATGTTGTTAATTTATTGAATTTGAGTTTTGTTGTTTTCAAATTTGTTATAAAATTTACAACTTAATCAATATCAAGTTAGTCTTATTTTGTAAAATATAAAACAATTCCAATGTTATTTAAAATTCTACTTTATAAAATAAAAATATCTAAAACAAACACAATAAATATCATTATTAAACACTATGTCTATTTTAATGATTAAACAATTCAACCAGACAAATTTTGATATCAATGTTTAAAATTGATTTGTGTAACAACCAAAGAATAAACAATTTATTAAAATTTATTCAATTTAAAATGATTATTTTTGAACAATTTATTGATATTGAAAAAATATCAATAAATTATTTCAAAATAAAAAAAACGAAAGATTTTTTAAATGAGTAAAAACTAATTTTATTACAAATAATATTCATATTTTTTGTGTATTTCTAATGAACAATTATCAAAAATCATTTTTATTATTTGAAACTTTTAAATTTTTATTTTTATTTTTATTTTTATTTTTATTTTTATTTTTATTTTTATTTTTATTTTTATTTTTATTGAATAAATAAATGAAACCGATATTTATCAACATTGGTTTTTTAAATAATTATCGCAGAAATTGTGGTATTGTAACGTACGGATTAACAAAAGAAATAAACATTTTAGTTATAAAAAAATGACGTGGGTAATTAGAATTGTAATTTTTAAAAACTCTGATAATCAACAAAATGATAAAACGTTTATTGTGTAATATATATAAATATAAAACAAATTCATTTTATTCATCAATTGAAAAAACATAAAGTAAACATACAAAATGTTGTACATATTTAACATTTGATTGTTATTGATATTAAATTTAGAATATTTATAAAAACTTTTCAAAATACCACTATATTAAAGTTTCATTTATATTTAACGTTTTTGATTTTTTACATAAATTTTGTTTAAACGTTATAAATGTAATTTAGTCAACCAGACAACGTTTACAACATCATTGAATAGTTTAATTCAATATCAATAAATTGCATTTTTGGATATTATTAATAATTTTAAAAACAAAATGGGTATTATAACAATGCAATTTGGTTTAAAAATCAACAATTTATTTGAAATGATTATTATAATATATTATTTAAAAACAAACAGAGTATTTATTTATATTAACATAATATAATACTAAGAAAAAACAGATGCTTGAAAAAGTTATGTGTAAATTAAAAATTGATTATTTTTATTATTTTGATTTGATTCTTATTGGTGTATAATTATTAAATTTGTTCAACGTTTTAAAATGAACAATAATTAAAAACATTTAAGTACGGTTTGTGACTGTACAAGTTTTTTATGATTGGACAAATATTATTCAATTGTTTTTTGAATAATTTAATTTTTTTTACTATTTTAATATTAAAATAAAGTTGTTATTTTTTTAGTTTGCTTATTAATAAATTTTTAATATAATACTGGTGATTCCGGAATCGGTTCGGGAATTTGATAAAAAAATAAAATTCCCCAAATATTTTTTTATTGATTCCTGAAACTTCTGATTCGGGAATCAAAAATATTTCCCAAATGTTTCAAGAAAAGCCGATTCCGGAATCAGTTTCGACTACAATACAACTGTTCAATAATGGTATGGGGAGTTATCGGGGTCGGATACAAGAGTAAATTGATACTTTGTTTACAGAACGAAGAAGGAAAAAATATATTTATATGCTAGAAAACAGTTTTTTGAAGATGTAAGTAAAAAAACAACATTTTATATATTTAACAAGACGGTGTTCCTGCCCATCGCCCACTTACAACTAAAAAAATATTTACAATTTAAAGGTGTAAGGCTGATGTTATGACCATCAAAATTTCCAGATCATTTTGATGGTTTGATGTTTTCAATCAAAACAAGTTTTAAATTGTGTATGAGTCAAAAAGAAAATCCGATTTGCCATTGATCAAATTTTAAACAATTTTAAAAAAATGGAAAATAATTCAGTGTTTTAAAAATACATTCTTAGGCGTTTGAACTTTATTATTAATATAATTTTTGTTTGTTGTAATTGGTTATTAATTAAATAAAATAATTCGGAAGCAACATAAAAATAAAACAGCACTTTATGTATATTTTTAGTAAAACATACCAATCACTTTTTAAAAACGGAACCAGTTTATAATGAAATTTGTTGATTTCCAATTGTTACACTTTTAATTGAAAACTCGTCTACACTTTTGAAAGTATTAATTTCTGTTTTTATCAAAGAAGGTTGAATTGAAAGTGTTGTTTCGTAAAGTGATATACCAATTTTTTGTACTTTCGCAAGGACAATATGGTTCTACAAATTCCATCAAATACAATAATTATAATAACAAGTGTCAAACATTTGAAAACAAAATAACAAAGTTATTAAAATTAAATCTATATAAATATTTATAAAATATGTTACAAATGATTGCTTATTTATATGTTATTTTGTTAATAATCAATTTAATTAATTGACCATATTTACAACCATTTAACCCCATAAATATTAAATCAACAATTTTTCGATTCTTTGGGCCGCTTCGTTGATTGTCATTCTTTTTTCCATTTGTGGAGACCAACAGTCTGATATTATATCATATTGTTCATTGCTCATCATCTCGGGTTTTTTAAGACGATTTCCAGCCATTACAAAATCTGCGATTTTCCATGGATATTTAAATTGATCTTTGGAGTACGGCTCTTTCCATGAAATGACTTCAAACATGGTGATTCCAAATGAATACACATCAGCAGACTTTTTATATTTTTGTTGTTTGAGTATTTCCGGAGCCATGTATACTGGTGTTCCAATTCCTTTTGTAAATGTCATGTTGGTTTGTAGCATATTTACATTTCTACTACTCCCAAAATCAGTCAATTTAGCATTAACTTTTTCTGTGATATTCAAAGACATTACAAGCAAATTGTCGGGCTTGATATCCCTGTGTAAAATTCCATTCTCATGAAGATACTGAATACCTTTTGCACCATCAAGTAAGAATTTCAACCTTAACTTTTTTTCAATTTCTTCACTTTTTTGGTGTTTGATCAAGTCTTGTAGTGACCCAAATTGTGCAAATTCAGTGACCATACACACCTTACTTTCTATAAAAACGGCACCATAAAAATGGATGATATATTCACTGCGGAATTTGTCTAACATGGAAACTTCCTTTTCAAATTCTACAAGTCCACTTTCATTGTTGTCAAGTTGTTTCATCTTTTTAATGGCAACTACATTTCCTCTATATTTTCCTTTGTATACAATTCCAAAAGAGCCTTCACCAAGTTTCTTATCTTCTTCAAGTTCTCTATAATTCAATTTAGTTGTTTGTTCAGTCTCTATCTCAATTGGTATTTTTGTGTTTTCAATGATTCCCGTTGAAAGATTTAATGAAGTAATCATTACATCTTCCTTGGTAGTACAAGTACACAACGGTTTAATAAATATTTCAAATTCGCAAGCAAAGCCAGGCTTGAGAGATACAAGTGAAGGTACTGTTCTAATTTCATAATAATCACACCCATTCATCACACTAAATTGTACTTTCAAGTTGTTTTTTGAATTGTTTCCAATACAAATTAAATCCCTTGTTTCTTTATCAACTTTGAGTGGATCATTGTTGTCAAGATCAAACGTCAATTTCTTCTTATTTGACACCAAATTTGCACTTATTTTCATCATCTCAATGTTTGACCGACTCATCTTGAAGTTGCAAATATTTTGCTCTTTTTTCTTCTGTTTTTGATTTTGCAACCAAAGAATTACTACTATTATTATCACAACAATTAATACAATAACTACTAATGTGACTGAAATCGGTACTCCAACGACTAAACCATAATTCGTCACTTTGACACAGTTATCACCTATATCACTTGGTTTGTGATACCCTTCACATTCAATACACTTTGAATTGTTAGCAGATTTACAATATTCAATTTCTTTGTAATTCACACATTGTGAATTGACTAAAACATAATCCTTTTCTACACATATGTTGCAACTTATTGCGTTGTCACATGAAATGCAGTTT